CCTGGAATATGGGCCTCAGCTGACAGCCTATCTGTGAGGCCCGAGACACTTCCTCTGTGATTTCTGGGGCCCGAATGCTGCCAAATAGTGCTCAATTGTTACAGGGAAAAATCTACATCTCCCTGTATGGAGAACCTGGGGATGAAACTGGCCTCTGGACTCATGCTCCATCTCTCTCTCTCTGGGTCCATCTCACTGAGTCTCTGTTTCTCTCAGTCTCCATCTATGTGTGAGAATCTCTCCCTCTACCCTGGTCTCTTTCTGAGACCTTCTTATTCTCAAAATCCTTGTCACTCTGACCTTTCTCTTTCTCTACAGCACCCACAGCCCTGGGGAACGGCTCATCTCTGTCAGTCCTGGAGGGCCAGTCTCTGCGCCTGGTCTGTGCTGCTGACAGCAACCCCCCTGCTAAGATAAACTGGAACTTCAGGAGCTTGACCCTGAGCCCCTCACAGCCTTCAGCCCCTGGGGTGCTGGAGCTGCCCCAAGTGCACCTCAGGCATGAAGGAGAATTCACCTGCCAAGCACACAACCCTCTGGGCTCCCAGTGTGCCTCCCTGACCCTCTCCCTGCAGAGTGAGTGTCAAGGGACTACATCCAGACACCCCCAACCATGACCTTAGTCCCCAGATCACCAAACAAGCAGTCCCCTGGGTTCAGTGTGTTGGAGCGAGGAAGACAAGGCTATGTCTAGCTCAACCTGATAGTCAACTGTGAGGCCCAGAATGTCCACGGGGGCAGGAGTCCTGGATTTCCTGCTGGGCAGTCTTGGTAGGGGGAGGGTGAGCCCTGTGCTGACATGGATATCCATGGACACCAGAAGGCCCTGGGTAACCCATGTCCAAGTCCCAATAAGAGAAGAAGGACACAGGATTGTGGTTTCACAGGCAAATCAGCTTCATCCCACTTTTCCTTAGGGAGATCAAGGCCCATGGCCAAGGTGGCTCTGGTGGCCATCGTGGAATCTGTTGTGAAGATCCTGCTTCTCTGCCTCTGTCTCATCTTCCTCAGGTGAACACAGCCCCACAAACCAAGGAAAGGGATGGGGAGGGAGGGGACACGACCCTGAATCCCACCTCCCAGTGCTGGAAGGACCAGAAAGGGGCAAGGGGGTCTGGGCCAGGGAGGAGGTGAGCTGGTGAGGAGAATCCCACATGGGCCATGGCTGTGTGTCTTTAAGTCTGTCTCAGTGTCCAGGATGGACAGGTTCCTGCCCTCCTTAAGGAGGCCTTAGGGCTTGTCCTGCATCCCCTCCTGCCCCTCACAGGGCACAGGGAGGTGAGGCTGCTGCCCAATGTACCCTGATTCAGCCTCACTGATGGCCCCTGGTCAGTTTCCTCAGAGTGAATTCCCACAGGAGGAAGGCAGCTCAGACAGCAGTGGGTATGGAGGACGTGGACACTGTCAGAGCCTAATCCCTCAGGTGAGTGATGCGGGCTTGTCACCCTCCAACATCCTGCTGGACACCTCCCCTGTGATGGCCCCTCCACCCAGCATGGCCAAGGCTGAGCCATCTGTCTCCTCCCCAAGCAGCCCTCTGGTCCTGCTGGAACCCCATCTCACTTATACTCAGTGGCTAAGTCTCTATAGGTAGAACCAGGGTGGGGCTCTTTTCTTGCCCCCCTCCCTCCGCCACAGCCCATGAATCACTCACCCCTGTCCTTCCCTCTCCTAAGCAGGGCTCAACTCCATGCCCTTTTCTCCACCCTGACCCTGCTCATCCTGCAGCCTCACCTCCTCCCTGGTTCCCGAATCCACCTCCGCTCCTGCCTTCCTCTCTCCCCACCACAGGCCTGTAGCCTGGGCTTCCAGATGCTTTCTTTCCAGTTCCTATATGGTGTGAATAGCTGGTTTCCCTCCATTGCTGGGGAGCGAGGTGCCAACCCAGGGGCTGGAGGAGAGGCCTGGCAGGGTCACTCCCGTGCTGGACTGTCCTCCTGACCCCTCCTTTCCCTGCATCACCTAATGCCTCCCCACACCCACCTGGCCATGTCTTCTGTGACCTGAGACTTTGCTTGTGGTTCCTGCTCCTGAAACACCCTCCCTCCCATTCCTGCCTGTAAGTCCTGCTCATCCTTCAGGCTCAGTCTTATGGGTCACTCAGGGTTGTGTGTGTTCCTCATTTGCTTCTGAGTGGAAGAGGGACATTCAGTCCTTCATTCATAGGCTCATTCAGGAGGTATTACTGAACACCTGCTATGTGCCAAGACTGTCCTAGTGCAAGATTGCCTCAGTGCATGTAACTTCAAAATCTCTGTCATCCAAAGCTTAGGACAGTCACTTTTTCAAAGAAGAGATACAAAAAGCCAATGAGCACAGGAAAGGATGTCAATGTCACAGTCATTGGAAAAATGGAAATCAAAACTTCACATCCGTTAGGATAGGTCTTATTTTAAAAAAAGAGAATATAATAATACATGTTTACAAAGATGTGGAGACATTGGAATTCTTTTTCACTGTATGTAAAATGGTGTAACTAGGGAAACTCTTAGATTTTTTTTCCCTCCAAAAGTTAAGCACAGAATTACCAAGTGATCCAGCAATTCTACTCCTAGATTGATTCTTAAAGGACCTAAAAGTGTGGATTTAATCTGTTGTGAGTTTACCAAGGTTCACAGCTGCATTACTCACAGTTGTCAAAGGCAGGAATAGCCCAGGTGTCCACTGACGGACAAATGGTAGTAGCTACAGAAGGTGCTACCTGCCCTCACTGAGATTTCTCTAGCTTTATCAAAAGAGAAGTAGAATTCTGACACGTGCTACAACAGGGATGAGCCTTGAAACAAGATGCTGAGGGAAAGATGCCAGCCACGGAAGGACAAATCTCATATGATTGTATGTATTTGACCTTTCTATAATGGGCAAAGGCACCGAGAGAGTAGAATGGTGGTTGCCAGAGGCTGGGGACAGGGATTGTGCTGGGGTGCAGAGTTCACTTAGGGATAACAAGAAAGCTCAGGAAATCTATTGTGGTCCCTGTTGCAAAACACTGAGAATGTGCTTAGTGCCACTGAATTGTACCCTATAAAATGGTAAAAATGGCCAATTTATGTTACTTACATTTTACCATAATAAGGAAGGCAACAGGCAGTGTCATTCAGGAGAAAAAGAGGAACAAGTGAATTAACAAAATGAGAGCATGTGGGATAAAAAAAGGAAGAGCTTGTGTCATTTGGGGGGACAGTGTCTGCGTCTGCCAGTGTGGGAGGTGAGGTGTGGCCACAGAGATGAAGGCAGTGAGGACTGAGTGAGAGAACAGCGTCCCAGGAGGAGGGAAGGGGACCAGCCAGTGCAGGGCTCAGAGGCAGCAGCAGGCTGGGTGCTGTGACCACTCCAGGCCTGGTGTCTGAGAGCAGAGGGTGGCAGGAGGAGGGAGCAGTGGAGAGGATGGTGCAGACAGGCAGGGACCCAGAGCCTTTGGGGACAGCAGAGGCATGACTGCACTTACACTGTGACAGGACCCTCAGCTGCCGTGGTCTGGGAGACTTGGAAGGTGCCACTGGATCCTGCAGGGTGAGGGACAGTGGCTGAACCAGGAGGCAGAGATGGGGTGAGGATGTGCTTTAGAATGTGTTGAGGTTAATGACGGGAGTATCTAAGGGACATGGTCAGTGAGGGGACGGGAAGAGCAAGTCCAATGCCACGGTCTTCACCTGAGGACTCAGAAGGCAGGAGCTGTGTTCCATAAAGAAGCAGGGACTTGAGAGAGGGTGTTAATTCTGGAAACCTAATTGGAGACATCAGGCAGACAGCAGGATATAAATGTCTGGAGA